TTCCTGTGCAGAAAGACAGGTCTCACCAAACTTGAACACGCTACTCCACTTGAGAGATATGCTTCTCACTGTAAATACACCATTTAAATACCAATCTTTCCTAGAAGCCTTGTTAACTCTTTCACTTCACGAAATTGCATCACTTCTAAAGACAAAGGCAATTAGTTTCTGAACCTGAGAAGCTTTGGCCCAGTTTTGCAACATCGTGACCACACAGGGCCAGCTAAGGCAGCTAGCTGCCACATGGCCTCAGTCTTCAGGGATTGCAGAAGGTCAGGCACCACCATGCCCCTTCGCCTCTTTCTAACTGGAACAAAACACGCTACGGTGGGGCCAAGGGTCTAACAAAATGCTTTCATACCTACTTACTTCCATCAGGAAATCCCTTCACTTCAGCGGCCAGTTAAGTATAGTTATTTCCTCCCCCTTTGAGTGATCATTACCTACAAAGAATATGCCAGGCAACTTTTAGAGTGGTGATTTTCAACTTCGGGGTTTTTCATTTGACATTCCTCACGTGCATTTATAATTGCCTTGTTCTTCTCAGAACTACCTTCCTATCAAAAACTATCCACAAAGTACTTGCGAAGTACGCTCAATCTGGTTTTCTCACAGCCAGTCAGCCAGCATTGTACAGAAGAGACACAATACCATCTATCCCGCACTTGTGCCAGACCGTGCCTGCTAATCTGTCTACACGGCTACAGACTCTCATTCTACATTTTCTGATCCGGTATACAAATTGTGGACACAAAATGGGTTAGCACAAAGGACAGTGCTGAGGTGCCGTAAAGGTAAAGAACACATTATATTAAAAAACAAGTTTGCGGGGGAGGGGGGGGGGCCGAGGGGGCGCCTGGGTGGCTCAGTCAGTTAAGCGTTCGACTTCAGCTCAGGTCATGATCTCATGGTTCGTGGGTTCAAGCCCCGCGTTGGGCTCTGTGTTAACGGTTCAGAGCCTGGAGACTGCTTTGGATTCTGTGTCTCCCTCTGTCTCTGCCCCTCCCCGGCTTGTGCTCGGTCTCTCAAAAATGAATAAATGTAAAAAAAAAATTTTTTTTTAATAAATAAAGATAAATAAAATCTTAGGGGCACCTGGGTGGCTCAGTTGGTTAAGCGTCCAACTCAATTTTGGCTCAGATCATGATCTCACAGTTCGTGAGTTTGAGCCCCTCCCTGCCTATTGTGGGGCTCTGTCCTGGCAGTGTGGAGCCTGCTTGGGATTTTCTCTCCACCCCGCCCCAATCATGCTCTCTCTCTTAAAATAAATCAACAAACTTAAAAAAAAAATATTTCCTTCCTTAAAAAAAAATTGTACACCTGAGTTGCCTTCAAAGAAGAGATCAACAAATGGTCATGAAGGGCATCATAAAGAACACCGTGGCCTGGGAGGACACACCAGTAATATCACCTACAGTTGAAAGAATCACAGCTGAAGGTTGTCATGAATTCAGATTTCAAGAGAATAAAGAGTAAATAAACATCAGCCCCTCCTACTCCATGGTCATGCTTTCTTGGATGCATTCCTTGAAGTTTCTCTTGTCGTACTCAGATGCTGAAGCCCCAGGCCTGGGTGCTCTTCCTATGTACAAGCGCTCTATGGGAAGCTCACGCAGTCTTGTGGCTTAACTGTCACATACATGTCAATACTAAACCTACACCTCCATCTCACTTTCGCCAAGTCAACTGGGTAGGTATGTGCCTTCTTAATTACACATCTAGAACTCAACATGTCCAAAACTCAATTCCTGATTTACTTTTCTAAACTTGCTCTGCCCATAGCATCATCCAGGTGCTCCAGCAAAAAACACTGGGGAGTCTTCCGTGACTCATCCTCTTCCATACCTCACAAGAAATCCAATTAGCTCTGATTTTAAAACAATCCCAGAAGCCAACCAAACCCAGACTACCACAATGGTCTAAGTCACCATCATCTCTCACTTGGATTACTGCCAAAGCATCCTCCTGGTCTCTGCCTATTAGAATACAATTTTTCGATTTCTCAACATAGCACCAGAATGATACAAAATTCTCAACACATAAGCCAGATAGCACTCCTCTGCCCAAACACTGCAACTTTATCAGTGAGAGCACAACCAGTGCCAACAATGGCCTGCAAGGCCCTATGAAACCTGACTGCTCATTACCTCTGCTAACCTCTTGATGTACTCTCCCCGTTTGTCTCATTGACCATCTTGCTGCAACACAATCACAGACAGGTGCTGGCCACAGGGCTTTTGCTCAGGCAGTTTCCTCACCTACAACACTCTTCCCCAGATAACCACTTGCTAACTCCCTCACCCCTCCTAGTCTATGTTCAAACCTTACCTTCTCAACAAACCTTACCCTGATTATGTATTTAATTCTGCAGCCTACACTCTCCCACCCCCAACTCCCCCCCATTAAGTCACCATCTAACGTACTACATAGAATTTACTTGCTCTTACACATTGTGTTTGCCTATCTCTCTGGTAGAACACAGCTTCTCAGGACAGAATTCAGTGATGTATGCCAAGCAACTACATAATCCCTGGCACAGAGTAGGTACAATCAATCAGTATTTGTTGAATGAATGAATGTACAATGCTGAGAGTTAATTTCCATAGGGAACAGCCTTATATCAATATACCCAGTGTTCTCACTACCACGATTCCACTTCTGCACCCCAAGAGCCCCGCTGCACTAAAACTTCAAAAGTCCCAAACCTAAGTTTGATACCTACTTACATCAAAACATATACTCTGTATATTCATCTACACCCAAAGACTTCTTTACAAATTAATCTGATACCCCTACCTATTTAGTATTCTTGCCAAAAACATTTAAACCAGAATCTAACCACAAGGAAACAATCAGACGAATCCAGATGGTAAAACATTTCTCCAACACAGCCTTATTTATGGGAATCATTTAAATATCAAAATCATGACACACACACACAAAGGGGGATATTCTGGATTAACAGAGCAGTAACCACAACCAAATACAATGTGTTAATCCTTGATCATGAATGTAGGGTTAACTTTTCAAAATAAAAGGTTGGGAGGAAAAATTATTCTCAGAAAAGACACCACCACACACACAAAGCGCGGTTGCCCTGGATTAGGAGTGGAACGACAATGGTGAAAAACACCCTGAAACTAGAAACGTCTTTGAAACAAGCCTAATTAAGCCCCGGATTTGTCTAACCCCAACAATAATTAGTAAGCAATCACTACACACATGGTCCTTTACTTCTCCCGGGAGAGTCAGGTGCAGGGAAACCATGACCACCACTGCAGCCTCAGGCTGTGGGAGCATGACTCAGCCAGCGGGGCTGCATCCCAATTCAAAGTTCCTGGTTCTTTCACTTCGTTACAAATTCCAGGTTTTCCAACAAACCCTGAGAGTGTACCTATTAATGCTAGCGGAGTAGGATCACTTTCTTGAAACCTTCACAACAAGCCCAAATAGGTGGCTGTGTTCCTCTACATACACCACAAGACAAGACTGGGTAAAGATGAATATTTATTCACTTTACAAAGAGAATGGTATTAAATTGCCATAAACAGTTCCATTTATAGACAAATATAACTGTACATTACACCAGTAGCTGGCTCAAACTTGTTTCCCAAGATGCCTATATGGCTCCGGCTCCATTAGTTGAGCACAGAAATCTCTTGTCCTGCCACTGGTGTTAAAAAGTCCCTCAGAGATCATGGTTTTGTGTTTTACATATTCACAGGTGGTAAAAATAAACCCATCTCCCCAGCCCTCCCTTAGAGTTGAGCTCCCATCTGCATGTTCCCTAGAGAGCACTAAACAAATACTGGCTCATTCTTTAAAATTAAAAAAAAAAAAAAAAAAAAAAAAAAAAAAAAAAAAAAAAAAAAAAAAAAAAAAAAAAAAAAGGTACTGATAATTTGAAAAGGCTTTTGTTGCACACCAAAATACTTATTTATACATACATAAAAAAATCTTGAGTCAGATTTATTATTTTAAAGGTAAACAGATACCCTAACACTGCCAAGAGTGGGTAATGAAAAGGAAGGAAAACATTAAATTACTGAATTATAAAAATATTTTCTTTGGAAAAAAATTCCAACAAGGTTATCATTAATATCTAAAACCAAAGAGAAAAAAATAAACAATTGTTCTTTGATCCATTAGTAATTTAAATAAAAGTGAAAACCTCTTCAAAAGCAGCTATAACTGAATTTTTTAAAAAGTTGCAAATAATGGATACTTCTAAATCTATACACTGATGATTCTTTACAGGCAACTTGCAGTCAAGAAAAATCCTTAATATGGCTAATTCTTTAGTTTTTTTAATTAGCATAATTTTTTGTGTGTTTTAAAAAAATATTCCACATGACAGATTAAAAAATAAATGGCTGTTTAGGGGAAGCACTCCAAATATTCAGCCTGACTCAAATCAGATCACCACCATTCACAGACAAGCTAGGGAAATTGTATGATTGTATGATCTCACTTTAATTTTTAAAATCGCAACCGTTTTTACTACGAATCTTTAGTCATCCCTTCATATTTTATGAAAATGTACCAAATTAAAAATTGTTTTCACTAGCGCTGCTTCATATCTGGATTTGACGAGAGATACCGACCTGAGATAAGAGCTGACTCCTTCACAAAGTCCAGTTCTTGAAACCCTACAAGGGAAAGGTCTTCATCTTCACTCCTGTCAATTCTTGGTATAACCAACCATACTAGGATATTATATTATAAAAATATACCATATATTGGACACTCATGTCAGTACATTGCAGAAAATGTCTATTTACTGTGTAAAGTTTATTAACATTTGAATGAAACACTCTTATTTACACAGCTAAGTCTGGGGTGCTCAGGACAGCAAGATGGCATGGGAACCACCATGAGGAACTTGGAAATGTGCAACGGTCCTTGGCATCCGTCCCAGAGACAACCCTCCCAGGAGAACTCGGCAGCACTGGGCAAGGTGAGCCAGAGATTACATAGTTCCATTGGCTTCTTTTCCATCTTCATTCTTCTTCACTTTCATTTTCAGGATCTAAATCAGAATCTCCATTTAATTCCTTCTCACTTGCCACATCTCTGTCCTCACCATTTTCCTCGTCTTTTTCTTCAGCATCTTCCTCTTCCTCCTCTTCATCAACATCCTCATCTTTTTCACTTTCTTTATCTTCCTCATCTTCATCCCAATTATCCTGGTAGAAATATATTAAATAAGGAAAGCATTCATTAAGTCCTCGTTCTTACAGAACACAAGGATATAAAAGCAGATTTATGTAACAGGAAACAAATCACTCACATCAGAATCCTTCTCTATTTCATCATCTGACTCCTCTTCAGAAGACTCTACAAGGAGAAAACCCAGCCTTAAGTTTGTAATCAACAAGCAGAGGGCAGAGCCCTAAAAACTAAATAGAATCAGATTCCTGAATGTACTTTTAGAAATATATTCAGCTATCATCCACCTAAGAAGTAACATTAAGTTAATACTCTTATTTGCATAAAAGTACATTTACTGTTTTATTCCACCAAGATCTCACTGAGGAGGACAAAGTACCAAAACCTTAACAAAATCCATCCTTAAAAACTTAAGCCAAGGATGTGGAGAAAAGGAAACCCTCATGCACTATTGGTAGAAATGTAAATTGGTACTGGCATTACTGAAAACAGTATGGAGGCTCTCGCAAGAAATTAACAATAAAACTACCAGATGACCCATCAATTATGCTGCTGGGTAGATGTCAAAGGAAACAAAGTCAGGATCTCAAAGAGACACCTGCACCCCCATGTTCACTGCAGCATTATTTACAACAGCCAAGACACGGAAACAACCTAAGAGTCCACTGATGGAATGGATGGATGTTTAAAAAAAATGTGGTATACATTCAGCCACTGAACTCAGCTATTAAATATCATTCAGCTTTTTAAAAAAGGACATCATCCCATTTATGACAACATGGATAGACCTTGAGGGTACTGGGCTAAGTGCAATAAGTATGACAGAGAAAGATAAATACTGTATGATCTCACTTATGTGTGCAATCTAAACAACACAAAACTTACAGAGAAGAGACTGGTGGTTGCCAGACATGGGGAATGCACGGTAGGGAGAAATGAGTGAAAATTAAAAGATACAAGCTTCCAGTTATAAGATAAAGAAGTCCTGCGGATATAATGTACAGCATGGTGACCACAATTAACGATACTGTACAGTTTATTTGAAAGCTGCTAAGAGAATAAAAAAAGTTCTTATTGTTAGGGGGGAAAAATGCAACTATGTATGGTGATGGATGTTAATTAAACATATTATGGTGGCCATTTCGCAATACATACATGTATCAAATCATTATGTTGCACGCCTAAAAAAATATAATGTCATGGGTAAATTGTATCTCAATAAAATTTGGAAAAATGCACATGAAGTCTAATTAATTCAGGTATGCTTTTATGTCCTTCAATTATGTTCTGTAATTTTCTCTATATAAAGATTTGTTTAATTTTTAGATATATTTCTAGGGACTTCATAGTTTTGATTGCTGCTATGAATGAGATCTTCTTCCTAATAAATTTCCTGACTGGGACACATGTTAGTAGACACACAATATGTTACTGGAACATAATAATGCTACTGATTCCGATTCCTTTTTGCTGATCTTGATATCCAGTAAACTTACTTCCTTATCTCATTCATGATGGTATAACTGTAGATTCTGCTGCATTTTCTAAGTTGTGATGGTTAACAACTGCCAAGTCCAATGTTCTAGAATTCACTTCTTTCATACAGTACTAGGCAGGATATCCAGAAGCAATAAAAAGTACATTATTGTCTAGTTCCTGACTTTATGGGAATGCTTCCAAACTCTGCCTTGATACAGATTAAGAGAATTCCTTTAAATCTGTAGATTGCTTAGATTATCAATAATGACATAAAGACTGAATTTTATGGAATTCTTTTTCTAGATCTATTCGTATATAGTGTTCTATTAATCGGTTAATGTAGTAACTACATTAATAAATCCTTGATGCTAAATTGTCTTACAATCTTCAAATAAATTCTACTTGGTATTTTAGTTAAGCACTTCTATAATCTACTACTCGGGATATTTGAAGATGGTCTAAAATGTTGTTTTCTTAATATCCTTATCTGGTTTTGACTCATAAAATGCCAAAATTGTTTGTAACAAAAATGACTTATTCCTTGAAAGACTGATCAAAATTCACCTATAAAAACTCTATGCCTGGCATCTTTGAGCAAATGTTTTGATTAAACCAATTTTAGGGCCATCAGCTTATTCAAGGTTTCTAGTTCTTTTTATTTAGTCAACTTTGGTCATTAATGTTTCCTAAGAAATTACCTATTGTCATCTAGGGTCATAATGTGCTGGCCTAAAGTTTGTTCACAGTGTTCTCCTACTTCTGTTCATCTCTTCCATACCTAATGCCCTTTTTTGTTACTCTATTGTATTTGTGCCTTCTCTTTTCTTATTTGATCGTATTTTGCCACAGAAGGTGTGCCAAGCATGATCTTATTCACATTCATGTTCTTTAAAATAAGATAACAGAATTCAAAGTTAAAAGATGAATGTTCCAATTCTAAATTCTACACTGCCCCAAACCTTACCTTCCTCATATACCAATTTTGCCTTTTGCTCAGGACAAGTCATTCCCTTTGATTTCTCTGAAGCTGTGACCTGAAAGACAAAACGGTTTTATCATGAAACAGAGTACACGGTTATTTCAAGTATCGCAACCCCCACCACACTCCACCTTCCTCACAGTAAACTTGCCCTCAACCACTACGGTGGATGGCCTTAATACGATACAGGTCAAATACAGAGCAAAGAGCAAATTTGCCAAATACGATAAAGAATTACTCTGTAAAAGTTGAAAAACCCTGTAAGGTGATCAGAATTTCTTTCTGTGCCTGGAACTTGTTGTTCATAGCACAACTGTCCTAAGCATATTAACAACTGAAATAGGATAGTGAGAACCCCTCCGGAAAACAGGCACAATTAGGTTTACTTACGATCGAATACATAACATTTCCGAGTTATTAACATTTATCAATTTCTTGCTGAAACACATGGCTTTCAATTCCTCCCTGTATTCCTATCACATCCAAAGTTTAGCACAAAACAATTTGATTTACTCACTTGAGTAATCAGAAGAATAAGCTTTCCATGAAGGTGGGAGAGTTTCTGAAAAGTTTTTACTCTGCTTTCCATTAACTGGTATAGTGTCCCCAGCTGGGGTACCAGATCAGGCAACTAGGGAGGGAAAAAAGATGATGTCATACCATCATGACAAAGTATAAATAACAAACATACAAATCATGCTCAGACACACCCAAGTATTCAGCCACTGCCCCCCAAGTATCTGCTTGCACATCCAGTGGCAGTGTCTGCTTGGGACACAGCCTAACAACATCTCAGATTTTTGTAGGCCTTCAATGTCCTAATGGCAAAAAAAACAATGGATTTTGTTAAGTAATGATACAGGGTCAGAAGAAACCACAAGGTAGTTCAAGAAAAAGCAGGGGAGGGTGCTGTTCTTTGTGCTGATCATGAGGTTTTAGAGAAGGTCAATACAAATGAGACACTGAATAAAAAATAGATATATCCCCGGGGTGCCTGGGTGGCTCAGTAGATTGGGCATCAGACTTCAGCTCAGGTCATGATCTCATGGTTCAGGAGTTCGAGCCTCGCATCGGGCTCTGTGCTTGATAGCTCAGAGCCTAGACGCCGCTTCAGATTCTGTGTCTCCCTCTCTCTCTGCCCCTCCCCTGCTTGCACTCTGTCTCTCTCAAAAATAAATAAACATTAAAAAATATATACATCCCCACCATATAACTCCGGGATAAAGAGGACTTTCCTCTGAAACTTACTCTGACAGTATCACATTATCTACTTCTACCATAAGTCCTCAGAGCAAGTTGAAGGGAGCTCTTCCCAGTTTCCAGAGACCAGAGACCAGCACAACAGAGCAACATAGTACAAAGCTGACCTTATCGTATTTCAAACATACTCCCTATTAATGAATCCTATGAACCATGCTTAAGGAATTAAAGCACGGATTAAATTGTCCCTCCATAGGAACAAAAAAATGGACCCTACTCTGCCCTTTAATTAGCCTTTACTTGTCCTCCTATCACTGACAATTTAGCACAAATAAGAGTATTTCATTTACATGTTAAATAGCAAACAGACACAAAAAGAATAAAACAAAGTTTAACATGATCACATTCCAATTACCATCATCTCTTATTTGTCCCTATTCAGGAGGTAAGTTCCAGGAATATGGGTATCTGAGTGTCTTGTCCATTACTTAAGCCCCATGCCTAGCACAGTCCCTCGGCTTAAAGAAGGTAAAGATACCTGATAAGGAAGGAGGAAAGGAAGGAAATGTAGAAGGAAAACCACTGTTTTCTGAGGTGAGAGAACTCTTGGCAGTTGAGTCCTCTCTATACCACGCTTCTTTGGTCTGTTTTGCCATGACTGTGAACATTACACAACTACTACTCCAGCAGTTCAACCTTAGGAGTTGATTCGGGAATGAATTTCACTACAAGGCCTCCTAGGGCTCTTTTCACTTCTAAACAAGTAAATGAGGTCACAAAATAAGTGCTGCCCGGTTTACCAGCCACAGTCCCAAGTCTTGAAGCTTGTGGGACTCTGCGCCTGCCCATGAGATGCCAATCAGCCACTCCACTCACCACTGCCCTCAACTGCCCTCCCAAGATTCTGCAACCTGGGAAACCCAACAGCGTACCTCCCCACATTCTAACATCCTGGCGAATTCTCCCCAGACACAAAGAACACGCTGCTGGTTATCCAATTGTTTCTCCAATTTCAAACTAATGAAGGGGGAAAGGAGCCTGAGACAGAACAAGGGACAAGGGACCAGGCGAAGTTGGATGAAACTGTGTTAAGAAAGTAAGAATAGGGGCGCCTGGGTGGCTCAGTTAAGTGTCCAACTTTGGCTCAGGTCATGATGTCACAGTTCATGAGTTCGAGCCTTGCACTGGGCTCTGCACTGACAGCTAGGAGCCTGGAGACTGCTTCAGATTCTCTCTCACTCTCTCTGCCCCTCCCCTACTCATTCATGCTCTCTCACACACAAAAATTAACAAACATTGAAAAAAATTGTTTAAAGGAAGAGTAAAATTAAGAATTTTCTTAAGAAAACCTATTACATGGCACTAAATAATAAAATTAAAGAAAAAAGTAAATTGGATAATTTTATTTCTGGCTTAAAATATAACTGATTTGATGATGTGGCAAAGAACACAATTCATATTATGACATAAAATTGTTTTTTTCTGGTGTTGCTTTAAGATTTTATGTTCCATGCTTCCCATTTGCATAGATAATCAAGAGCTTACAGCAGTCCTACAAAATGACATGTATTAAATATTTAATTTCATTTTTACCACAAGCTATTTGTTACTGTCCTGGGACAAGGTAGGACAGGGGAGAGATACATACAATGTAAAAAATAATTTTGTGAAACAGGTTACATACATAGAAAACTACATCTAAAGGCTAATATAATAAGTCAGTATGTTACTTTTCTCCTTTCTGTATTTTTTCAAAGTTCTCTACAGAATATATATTACTTTTAAAACCCAGGGCAGGGGCGCCTGGGTGGCGCAGTCGGTTAAGCGTCCGACTTCAGCCAGGTCACGATCTCGCGGTCCATGAGTTCGAGCCCCGCGTCAGGCTCTGGGCTGATGGCTCAGAGCCTGGAGCCTGTTTCCGATTCTGTGTCTCCCTCTCTCTCTGCCCCTCCCCCGTTCATGCTCTGTCTCTCTCTGTCCCAAAAATAAATAAACGTTGAAAAAAAAAATTTTTTTAAAACCCAGGGCAAAAAAAAGAGGCCAATTTACAAAAGGCAACAATGGACATTACTACACCACACACCTGGGGAAAAATAAAATCTTTAAAAGCAGCAGCTGATGGCTGAAGAGCAGTTGGAGAGAGGATGGTTCTATTAACCCCTCAGTTTATAATCTTTATCAAAGCCAACTACAGCTGACGACTTACTGTGGATAGATAGGATGCATGGACCGTTAACACACATTTTAGCCACTGAACCATTAAAACAGCACTGAAAAAAAGAAAAAAAAACCCAAGTAAACAAATATTCACAAATTCAAAATTAAATACAACTGAGTTGTAATATTAGAAGAATTCAGGCCAAGTGAAGATCCATAAATTGTGTCCTGTGAAAACAACACTACAAAATAAACCACTGACTTCTCATCCCTTCAGACTCTATCAGAGATCTGAAATATACCCATCTCTGGAGGGATTGTGAGGGGGGAGTTACATGGACTGGAAGAGGACAAAACTCCCTTCCCTCTAAAACAATTCAAGAATAAAGCCCATACTTTACTTCATAATTAACAGACAGTAATTATGGGCTCAGTAAACTGGGCTTAACTGACTTTGCATTTTACCCCGAACATCTACTCACTATCAGGTACAAATAGCAAAAGATTTCCATGCCACATTAGCAGACAAATACAGACCAAAAAAAATGTATAAGCTCGGCCTAATCGATGAATTATTTGGCTTTTCTTTGTGAGCTCCAAACACTACTGGAGTCTATGAGGGGGAAGAAAACTAAAAGAAAAACTTTATTATATACTATAGCACCGAAAATACTACACTTAAAGCTTAGGATCTTTGACATACCAACTTCCTATTTATATACTTAATCATCAGATTATTAACAAGAAAGACCCACAAAATTCAGTCATATAAAATACTTCCTTATCTTAGGTTGGGAGAATTCTACAAATGGCAATTTTATATATGATTAGGATGAAATCTTAAGACTAATTCATTAAATGACCTGATAATAAAACAAAACACCAAACACGAGTTTCCTAAAAGAAAGGAGAAAACTATACTAAAATCTTAGGAATAAGAGTCCTTCAAGTAAGTAGGAAGAGCAATGTCTGACCCTTAATGAGTCTTCCTACTTAGAATTTGGGGCTACCCACTATGTAACTTCATGCTGTCAAAATTGCTGTTTTTAACAGTCACCTTTAAAATGTTTATAAAATCAAAGCAATTTAAGTCACCTAAGTATCTTACCTATTAGGATGTCCCTGCAATCTTTTTGTAAGCTGAGGGGGAGAAAAACAGTATTAGCAACAGTACGTCAGAGGCAGCAAATCTGCACCAATTCCCACAATACATAACATCCAGAAGAACAAAGAAAATATAGAAAAGACTATTAGGAAATCACTATTCCTAAACAATTCCTAAATTTCCTAATTCTTCAATGTTCAACAAACATAATCTAGGAATACTTCCCACAATAAGAGTAATTACCTGATAAAAAATCTGGCTAGGATTTATATGAATGAATGTTCAGAAGTGGCAAATCCAGGGCGAGAAAATAATTTGTGGTTGCCAGAAACTGAGGGTAAGGGAGAATGAGGAGTGGCTAACTGGTACAGGATTTTTTTTTTTTTTTTTTGGTAAGAACTACACAATCTGTGAATATATTAAAAAACACTGAATTGTACACGTCAAAGGGGTGAATCTTATGATATGTGAATTATATCTCAATAAAAAAATACACAGAAAAAATATGGATTAGGTCCATCTTATTTAAGTAGATCTATCATCTACTCTAAACACTCTGCTTGCTTATATACTGCAAATCCATTTCTCTATACAGATTCTCTTTAATTCACAGTGTAAGGACCTTAAAATGAAAAGAATATTCAGTTACCTCTTGCAACAATGGAATAACAGCATGCAGGGGCATCCTTAATACAGTCCTCTTAATTAGGTTTAAATTCCTAGTCTGAAGTACTTTCTGTGAGAAAATAAAAGAAATATAAAGATAAGCATATTCAGAAGCTAAGGACACTACAGGAGAAACTATCAGTAAAAATGATTTTAAAAACCAAACAAACTACAAACTGAATTTTAGTGAATGACGGCTGCTGGAGGGACTGACTGAAAAATGTTATGTTAATGTCCATGGCTATCAGGCAAGTATAATCTTCAGGAATCAGGGCATTTGATAAACAGATTTCTTCTCTACAAATTTTAAACTTTATGAACAAATTTTGATATAATACAGAACACCTCTATACATTTAAATACAGATATATGCCACTTTAGAGAAGCTGCCAAACCATCATTACATAAAATTAGAGTTATAACCACATAAGAGTGAGCAAAACACACTAAAATCACACTTAGCAACAAAACTTTTACAATTATCAACTTTCTGATAAGATTTTAAGCCAATCAAAAGATAGGTTCTTTCTAGTTTCTGGCTATTAAAATATAGAGTTGCCATGACCATTCATGTCCAAGTCTTTATATGAACGTATTTTTGATTCTCCAGGTAAATACCTAGCAGTAGAATGACTGGGTCTTAAGGTAAATAAATCCTTAACTTTTAAGAAGTCGCCAAATTGTTTTCCAAAGTAGCTGTACCATTTTATATCCCCACCACCATGACAGGACATTCCAGCTGCACCACATCCTCCCCAACAGAGGAACTGTCTTTTATGGGTCAATAATGGGTGTGCAGCATCACATCACTGTCACTTCAGTTTGCTCATCTGTGATGACTAATGACACAGAACACGTATACATGCACTGATTGGCCATTTGAATTCTTTTGTGAAGGATCTGTTCACACCTTTACCAATGGTTTTTTGACCTGAGTCTCATTATCCAGATGTTTGTGTATTCTGGATATGAATCCTTTGTCTGATGAAGGAGTTGCAAACATTTTTTCCCAGCCTGCAGCTTGCCTTCCCACACTCTCTTAACAGTGTCATTTCAAGAGCAAAAGATTTCAACTTTCATGAAGTCCAAATGACCATTTTTTCCTGTAGATGGCTTGCTGGGAAGCCATCTAAGACTTCATCCACAAACGTTTGTGTAGATTTTATCCTGTTTTTTTCTAGAAGTTTTGCAGGTTTTGGTTTTACATTTATGTATTTTGTGTCGACTTTCATGAAGTAAGAGTTGAGATGTGTTTTTTCCCATATGGATATTTGGTTGATTCAGGACCAGTTTTTTTCCCATATGGGTATCTGGTTGATTCAGGACCAATTGTTGGGAAGAGTTTACTTTCTCAATTAACTCAAGTTAGTACGTTTATTGAAAATCAATTGTGTGTAGTCGTTTTCTGGACTATTGTGGTTTCTTAATTTATACTTATTTTTCACCAATACCAAACTATCTTGATTACTGTAACTTTATCTTGAAATCAAGTAGGGTAAGTCCTCCAATTTTACTTGGAGATGTTGAAATTTAATTGGGAATGCACTAAAAACACAAATGTGGGGGAAATTCCTCATTTTAACAATATTAAATCTTTCAACCTACAAACATGGTTTAGATATCTATATATTTTAATCTTTGTTAATTTCTCTCAATTTTTGTAGTTTTCAATGTAGAGAGAGAGTCATCTTTTATACATTTATCTTAACTTCTTGGTACTACTATAAATGGCACTTTCAAAAATTAAGTAAATTTTTTAAAATCTTAAAATCTCTATCTTTTCTGGGTGCCAATAACTTGGCTTCTCTTCTCTTTTCATAAGCTGTAGCCTTTTCTTTTGAGTCAAATTCCCACCTTCCTAAAGCCACAAGTTTAACGTCAAGTTTTCTATGGCATGGAGACACAGGATTCAAAGCAGGCTCCAGGCTCTGAGCTGTCAGCACAGAGCCCTGACACAGGGCTTGCACTCACAAACTGTGAGATCATGACCTGAGCCGAAGCTGGTGTTTAACCGACTGAGCTACTCAGATACCCCTCTAAGGTGGGGATTCTTAACCTCAGTTTTAGTCACATGATGTATCCCTGCCATTGCTACCTCCCTTCTTTCATTCTTTAAGTCCTCCTACTATATTTCATGTGTCCTCATAAGGTCACTTTGAGGAATGGGGAAGACTATTTTTAGGAGAAAAAAGTTTTGTTTTTTTAACTTGTCTCGCTTTTTATTTTAGAGTGAAGTACAGAATATGTGAATGCATCTCCCAGGCAATACAGTATGGGAAAATCTCTATACTTTTTTTTTAAGGGTTATTTTAAGCCCTCACTATAACATTTACAGGTCTTTTCCAGCACCCAATTTTTCAGGATTCTAGTTTCCAATTACTTCTACTTAAGTAATACAATAATGAGAAAGTCTTATGTGTACAATGCTTTATAATTTAAGAAGTGCTTCCATAAACATCATTTCATTTGTCCCAAAAACTGTGACACCTAATAAAAGGACACACTGTCAACTTTGAAGTACCAAAAGATTCTAACCTGAATCTCTACAAGCTTTGAGATACAACTACCAGTGTATAGAAAATATGACAGAGGAACATGTTAAATGATACCATTTATTGGGGCGCCTGGGTGGCTCAGTCGGTTAAGCATCCGACTTCAGCTCAGGTCATGATCTGGGGGTCCATGAGTTCGAGCCCCGGGTTGGGCTCTATGCTGACATCTCAGAGCCTGGAGCCTGCTTTAGATTCTGTGTGCACCCACCCCGACCCCCATCCCGCTCTCTGCCCCCTCCCCCACTCGTGCTCTGTCCCATTCTCTCAAAAATAAACGTTAAAAACAAATTTTTTTTAATGACAACATTTATTGGATTAAATGACCCAATAAAATGGAGTTTTGCAGGAGACAAAATGCAGACTATGAGGTCTCTATGCAGCTAATAACTCAGCTCCTCTAAAAAAAAAAATTAACTGCAAGAGACAGAAGAGGCATATATCTACCCAATACTGTGTGGACTTCACAGGGATCCTGTTTTAAAGGAAGCAAAAATAAAAACTAAAGAAGTTTATGAGACAATCAGGGATATTTGATGGTCTCTGATGGATATTTGATGGTTTTAAGTAATTACTGTTTACTAGGTGTGATAATAGATCGTGGGGTTTTTTTGTTTTTTTTTTTTTTTTTAAGCGTTTATTTATTTTTGAGAGAGACAGAGACAGTATGAGCAGAGGAGGGGCAGAGAGAAAGGGAGACAGAATCCAGAGCAGGCTCCAGGCTCTGAGAAAGTTGCCAGCACAGAGCACAGAGCCCGACACGGGACTTGAACTCACAAACCACGAGATAATGACCTGAGCCGAAGTCAGACGCTTAACCAACTGAGCCACCCAGGCACACTGGATTGTGGGTTTTTTTTTTTTTTAATTTTTTTTTCCTTCATTTTTTTTTATTTATTTTTGGGACAGAGAGAGACAGAGCATGAACGGGGGAGGGGGCAGAGGGGAAGAGACACAGAGAATCCCAGGCTCCAGGCTCCGAGCCATCACCCAAACCTGGCAGGGAGACTCGAACTCTGAACCATGAGATGAGTAGCTGAGAAGTCAGACGCTTAACCAACTGCGCTACCCAGGCGCCCCCTGGATTGTGGTTGTTTTTAAAAGGACTTGCTATTGTCAGTGGAACAGGGATTTATTTATGGATAAAATGATGTCTCTAAAAGATATCTTCACTATAATGTGGGAAGACATGTGGGCAGATAAATGAAACCATCACAGACAGACTGGCTAGATTTGATCATTTCTGAAACTGAGTGATGAGTCCATGGTGGTCCACTGTAATAATTTTTTAAATGTTTTGACATGTTTCTTTAAAAAAAAAAATGGGAACTGATTTAGTTATACTACTGAGGAAGGTTTCAAAGCACAATTAAGGAGGCAATAACGACAGGTAAGTTAACAGTGTATTTTAAAAACTGTCAGCTATTTTCTACAGCTTATTTTTCACCTAGATTTCTATGCCATATTAAACTAAAATCCACCTTCCAAATTACATACGCTTACAAACTATTTTACAAGCAATTTTAAGTTTTAGGATGTAGTGTCCCCTTTATGCAAAAGTCACCTTAAACACAAATATAAGATATTCCCATTTAGATCAAAATATAAATCAGAAAGATGCTATTCACAGGTTACATATTAAAAGGCATATCAATACTAGTGGCACCATAATATTGCTGAGTCACTAAGAATAAATGCACTTAAGAAAATGTAAACTGCTTTAATCTAATTAGGCAGTGCTTAAATCCAATTTTTACACTTCAATTTTCTGCACAGATCACTGTTACATTCTGGAATTTAAGGGGACCTAATTAAGTCACTTCATACAAGCAGTCACCAACTTACAAACACACAAATAATAAATGCTTCCCTTATATAAATTTCTAGTATTTTACCTCTAAATACTTCACAAGATAACCCCCAACCCTCTTCAATTTTTCCCCCAAACCTCCTACCCATTGCCAAGGTTCCACCTCACCGCCCCCTCTCACGGCCAGGGGGAAATAAGTTTCTGGAATCCAGAGTAAAAACTCAGGAACGCATTTTCCTACAGAAAAAAATATAAATTGTGATCTAGAATGCTGAGTATTATAATTCAGCTACACTATGTTTATAAAGGCTTTTGTGAACTAAAGCCTAAGACCTAATAACAATTCAGAACAATATTTCTATGAGAAAATGCATTCCAGGTTCAAAATAATTTAATACAATGCCTTTGTAGGTTGGTGACTGTCTGTATAGTGCCACCAAGTGATATGTATTTGACTAAACTCACAAAATATTAAATTCAAAACAGCTTTATCACATGACTCTTCAGTCTGAGTGTGCTATGTCAATCACTTTCTAAGAAAAATTAAGTGTCCTAATTCATTTTAAAAACTGCTATAATACTTACATTTAACATTTCGAAATCATTACTTTCTAATCCTTGTGTGAGAAGAACTGGAAAGCTATTTGTCTGTGGAAGGTCATCCTTCTCTTTCTTTGTATCTATATCCAGTGCTCCCAGGCGCTCTTCAATGCTAATCTGCAGAACAGAAATGATCTATTAATGTTAATCTAGACAAGGCCTAAAGTAGTTTGGTCGAATGACTTTGTTCCTATGTCTCAAAAAACAAAAGCACTGACTGGTTCACAATGAAAAACACAAACAAGCTCTTTCTCATTCCAACAAGATCTTACTACCATAAAGCCAATGATGGAGACCAATGTATTATCTGCAATCCAAGGTTCCAGATCCTAGTGATCTGGGTTTGTGCATGGAAGTGCATGAGAAGTCATGATTTGAAAATGTAATTCATAAAAACATCTCTCTAAAGAAGATTCAAAAAATACACAGATCTGGTATCTTATTACTAAAGCACAAGAAAAGACCTATTATCAAAAGAACTTTCCCTTCTAGAACTACCCCTGGTTATCAGCCTCAGATCTGTAAAAAAGGAAAATTATCAAAAGAAAATGAAAAATAAAGACAACTATGTTCCCAAAACAATTTTTAAAATGTCTTTTCCTATTTTTCGTTTTAGTAGTTCCAAATGATGATTTTCTAGAAGATGCTATGCTCTACCAAATCAAGTTCCCTTGATAAAAGAATCTAAAATTTAAGTGTAAATAAACAGGATGCAATTTGCTACACAAAAACTCAATTGTAGAGAACTTATCTCTTATTAAAACAAGTCTAACAACCATGTTCTGCCTGCCTCTTAGTAACTAAATCAAAATACAAATACTCTGTGACTACTATGGCAAATAGGCTCTGGCAAAGCCTCCTATTTAGGTTAACATAAAAATCAAAAAAGGCAGGAGGAAATTAAATAATTGGATCTAGGCCAAGTTAAAGAAAGTTGGCATGTTATTTTTAAATACATATACCATGCTACTAAGGAATAATTTTAATGAACAACTACTCAGCCCCATCCCCCCACAAACCCTACAAAGGAAGACATTTAAAATCAGGTAAAGAAACATAATCTTTCTCTAATGATAAAACAATTAAAATTTCACATCATTTAGGGTGACACATAAGAAAAAGGTCTACAGAGACAAGTACAGTAACCACAGGAAGGTCTAGGGAGCTGAGAAAAAATGAAGGTTGTAAGCACTTGAAGAGGTTATAGTGATGACCACTTTTAAAGGCCAACACTCACTAAACTAGCCAGAACTGCTCAGACAGCCAAGAGAAAAGGCATCACTGGAACTCAGCAACATGCGAAACCCAATGGAAATCATCACAGCAAGTCCTGGCTTAAGGTACTGTATTCAATTATGTGACCCAGCTGACTGCTAACAATGGTCAAAACAGCACCCTTTTTAGTTAGTAAGAGTCTGTCTTCTCCATTAACAGTGGCCAAGTAGAAGCCTCGGGTTACAATTTGGAATTTCTGAACCTGTGCTGCTCGGGATGAGAGAGGGAACCAGCAGCAATCTTAGCTAAGTTCCTAAAGTTTCAAGTTTGGGTCTACCCAATAATTTGTTAGTCTCATGAGTAATATTACATTTCAAACTCAAAAATGGTCAGTGATTTTATTACCTCATTTTCCCCTAATTTCCTCTTGCTCTCTACCTCCTCAGTTTGTGAAGGAGGAGGTTTGATAGCTGCATGATGACCAGGTACCCCAGGCACCAAAACTTTTGCTTCAGAATTCATCACTGGTGTTCTCACCTGTTAAAAAGGAATAGCCGGCATGTGACAAAGGGAATTATGCCTTAGTCCTTGTAAGATTTAGCCCCAAAGAAAACTAACAGCTTTTAATTGGTTTTTCTACTGGAAAATCTTAACATAATTAACTTAATATGATAAGAACTACAGACAAATTTTAATTGAATGTTAGTAAATAAGTTTCCAAATTATAATTTGAAAGTTTACAGTTTTAAGGTTTTCAATAGCACATGAGTAAAAACCAGGAAAAACAACATTTAAAGATTACTTAAAAACATTAGAGAGTGAAGTTGTACATTTTACTACCACCTCCAGTAATCCAGCTTTGCCAGAAATGCTCAGACAGCCAAGAGAAAGGTGTCATCTCTGAAACTCAGCCAGAAGCGAAACCATATATGGATGTCATCACAGCAGGTCTTGGCTTTTTTTTTTTCCTCATTAAACTGCCAAACATGTATCTACATGTAGATGCCATGTTATATTCAAAATAAAAAATCATGATGATAAGCTTAAATATGGTATTTAATTCCAAACCCATCATTTAGGGCTTTATATCCTTAAATACAGGATTCCTCCTTTAAATGCTGAAATCAGCAAAATAAGTTATTGACAAATGTTGTATTTATTTAATGATCACACACGGGGTAAAGGACTAACTCCCAAGTCTTTAACTTTTAGTTGTCTATTTACTCATTCATTCAACAAATCAAAAGCACAGGAAAGAAGTTGTATAATCTTGTTACCTAAAACTTAATCTCACCAATTTGTTAAGATCATAAGGAGGGTATTAAAGAGTCTAAACATAATATTATATAACAATTCAATTCACCCAAATCTCTTTTTTCTCAACTTCTAATACGAAATGCACTCACCTTTGTTATAGCCGTCTCTACTTTGGGGGCCCAGCAGTTTGAAATGTCTCTTACTAAACACATGTGAGGTTCTTTGGAACTTAAAGCCTGGGAATATAATTTTAAGGAGGGGGGAAGAAAGGGGGCGGAAATGTCAAACAAAGCAATTGGGAATAAGAATAACATGAAAAGCCAATGTGTACTTGTGCATTTTCATAAAAATACAAAAAAGTATAGAAAGCTTCCCCACAAAACTCAGCCACTCAGACTGACCACTACTCAGACTGATGGCAGCAGAGAAAAGTGGGTCAACTCTGAAGATATTAAGCACAATGTGTACTTTTTTCGGTTATGAACTGCTCAAATTTTTCACATGTATAGTTTTAAAAGATGAAGAGGTTTTTAAACTATAACAGATTTTTAAAGATTCCTGTTTGTCACCCTTGTAAAAAAATAATCTGGGCTATTTAGGGTCCCCCCACTATACTTTCCACAAGCAAGTCAAAGACTTGCTGAACAAATTGCTGTAAGGTGGATCTCTAAATCCTGATGTGCCATTACAAGGGGGACAATCAGATGCAGCAAAGTACATGTTACCCATAAGCCTGTAAGGTTTTATGTAATTCTGTTCTGTGCCCATATAATTAATCAGCATCTGGTAGGACACAAAACAAACAGGAAACAATGGCAGCATCTTCAGAGGACGGTTAGGGGGTCCAGGCACAGCACGGAGAGTTACGTTTATAGCTTAATACCTTTCTCCCTTTTTTATTAAACCATATCCATGTGTTAAATTCTTAAAAAGTAAAATAAACTCCACAAGAGTTTGCTTGGGCACATAATATTTCACTCATCATCTCCCAGAAGGCCTTACTGAATAAAAGCAGTATAAATGCAAGCTAAAGAAATCACCTATTGGACACGCCCATAACTCACCAAAAGTCTCCAAAGAAACTTTCAGAAAAGTTAAGTAATTGCACCACCCATTACATTTCCACTTAGAAAACTCAATGAGTACTGTTACTAAAGGCTCTTTTATTAAGATGTATCTTTTGGGTACTTGGGTAAAATTCATTCATACCCTGTGCTGACCAAAATGTTAGTAAATGTGGGGCTATTGAGCACTTGAAATGTGGCTATTCCAAACTGAGGTATGTGCGTAAGTGAAAATATATACCAGATTTCAAAGACAGAATACCAAAAAAAAAAGGCGAATAAAATATCTGAAATAATTTTTCATATTGACTAAGGATTAAAATATTTGATATGCTAAACTGAGGGGTGATGGGGGGTGGGAGGGAGGGGAGGGTGGGTGATGGGTATTGAGGAGGGCACCTTTTGGGATGAGCACTGGGTGTTGTATGGAAACCAATTTGACAATAAATTTCATATACTGAAAAAAAAATATTTGATATGCTAGGTGAAGTAAAATTATATACATAGCTCTCACAAACTAAAATAAACTACCCAGTGAAAGATCCTTCAGTTACAGGAAAATACACGACTTCTTTTTAAGTATTCAAATAAGCAGAACAATGAATCACTCCAGTCATCTTTTTTTTTCATGTCCACGTTGATGCTATTTTGCTTTACTCCAGAGTAGTATCTACGTACCACTCGCTCAATGGTGGGCTGAAACCAATTGCCGTATACAAGCAACAATGACATTTTGTCTGAGCAAAACCCAGCTGCTAGAATAGGAATGGGTTTTGGTGTTGATTTCTTGCCTTTCCCAGGTGTCACTATCTGAATTGTGCAATTTGAAGTCAAAGGCTTTTTGCAGTATCTAGAAATGAAAAAAAAAAATAGATTAGAAAATTTGAAACATCTCATATGAATGCTTTGAAGCTGGCATCAAGTCAAGAAATGTAACCTCCTGTGGCCTCCACACTATCACCAGAGTGACCAGGATCCCCACACCACTAGTGTTGCTGTCAAGACCTCATCTAGCAAGACCTCACCACCAAATCTGCCTGGACACCAAGTGCCCTTCCATCCCATTGTCAAGCCCCATAAAGGGCGCCAAGATCCCAGGTGCTTCAGTCTCTCTCTCTCGCTGCCCTGTGCTTCAGTCCCAGAGGACTCTCTGACATGCCCTGTTCCAATCAGTCCCATTTCCAATTGTTTCCAACCCGCAAAAGCCTCACCATGACCTCCGCAATGCAGTTCCAAGAGCAAAATTATCAGCAAAATATAAACGACAAAATTCCATCGTCTAATATAAAAAATTCCATTATCTACTGCTTATCCAAGGGCTTTCATCAGCTTCTTGCTCTACACTGGCACATCAGGGCAGATCTCCCAAGCTGTAGCTGTTTTCTCTCCATAGCCTTTATGTCAGAAGCCTAGGCATGAGATGATTTTAAGAGTGTTCCGTGTTCTTCACAAACATTTCAAGATGAATAGTCTGTCTCTCTTTCCCTTCCAAAACCTGGGTAAGTGTTGTTACCAGATACCAGCTACCTCCCTCTCCTGCTGTCATCCAATGATTTCTGGGCCACTCCCCCAGATTTCTTGAAGATTCTAGTGGCTGTCATTCTAACACTACTCCTGAGGAATTCCTTTCTTAGCAGTCTGGTCTCTGCATCCACCGTGCAGGCTGATGATGCTTCTGATACACTGTCCTCCCAGGTCCATACCCTCCCGCCTCCAACAGCCCCGCCCTTCACTGTGTCTCAGCCTCTCACTCCTCACACCGCAGACATCTTACTCCCAACAGGTGCACCACACCATCCTTCTAGCTCATGCCTCCTAGTTATCCTGACTCCACAACCATCTCCATCCAGGATTTCTGGTCTTCTACCCCTCTGTAGTCTATTCTCAACACATCCGACAGAATGACTCAAAAGCTTAATAATGTCTTAACACTTAATACCTGATGAGGTCAAACCTTATCAGTCTTCTGCATAAAAGCAACAGCTTACTATTGCCCATGGAGAGGTGCCCAATTCCTCACAGCAGCCCACCATCTCTGGGCCCTTAGTTATATGTTCCACATACGTGTATGACTGTATCAATAAAGGCCTCAAGTGTTACACACCAAAATGTTAAGAGTTACCTCTAGGGAGTAGAACTCAATGCAGGGAGAATAAGGCTTTATAACCTATTGTCTACACATCCTAAATGCTTTTCAATGTTTTATGCCTTCATAACAATTTTATACTTAAATAAATTCCTACATTAGGATTATAAAAGGAAAAATACCAACTGACAAAAAGTTGAAACCATCTTGAAGTTCACATGATTGAGTCTCAGACCACGTTTACAGAGAATGGCAAAGGTTGCCAAGCTTTCTATAAAGAGCAGATAGTAAATATTTTAGTTTTGGGGGGCCACGTATGGTCATACTGGATTTGACCCACAGGTCATAATTTACTGATCCTAGATCTATGACTACTACACATGCTAACAGCAACACCCCCCTCTGTCCACCAAAACAATAGCATTGCCATGCTTCATTGATCCACATGTATATGGCAAGGGAAACTATTATCAAAGTTAGAAATCAAGGCTTTACCAAGTTCACAAGCAAACTTTTCCAACTGAACCACTTTCAGTTAAAATGTATCACTAGAGGGGCGCCTGGGTGGCGCAGTCGGTTAAGCGGCCGACTTCAGCCAGGTCGCGATCTGGCAGCGGTCCATTGAGTTTAGGAGGAGCCCCTTTGTCGGAGCTCTGGAGGCTGATAGCTCAGAGCCTGGAGCCTATTTCGATTCTGTGTCTCCCTCTCTCTCTGCCCCTCCCTGTTCATGCTCTGTCTCTCTCTGTCCCAAAAAAAAAATAACGTTGGAAAAAAAAAATTTAAAAAAAAAAAAAAAAATGTATCACTAGAGGGATGCCTGGGTGGTTCCAGTCATTAGCGTCCAGCATGACTCAGGTCATGATCTCACTGTGGGTTCCAAGCCCTTGCTCCGGGCTCTGTGCTGACAGCTCAGAGCCTGGAGTCTGCCCCAGATTCTGTGTCTCCCTCTCTCTCTGCCCCTCCCCTGCTCATTCTGTCTCTGTCTCTCAAAAATAAATAAACGGTAAAAAAAAATTTTCAATGTATCACTAGAGGGGCACCTAGGTGGCTAAGTTGGCTAAGCATCCAACTCTTTTAAATTTTTTTAAACATTTTTTTATTATTGGGAGACAGAGAAAGATACCTGAAAGCATGAGCAGGGAAGAGAGGGGCAGAAGAAATTCTAGACCTAACCAGGCTGGGCGGGCTCTGAGCTGTCAGCACAGAGCCCGACATGGGGCTTGAACTCACAAACCGGGAGATCATGACCTGAGGTGAAGTCGGATGCTTAACCGACTAAGCCACCCAGGCACCCTAAGCATCCAACTCTTGATTTCGGCTCAGGTCATGATCTCACGGTTCATGAAATCAAGCCCCATGTCAGGCTCTAAGCTGACCGGAGCCTGCTTGGGATTCTCTCTCTCCCTCTCTCTCTGCCCCACTACCTCTCATGCATGCATGCATACTCTCTCTCTCTCTCTCTCTCTCAAAATAAGTATAAACTTTAAGGTAAACCAACAAAATGTATCATTAGAACTGCCAACATTTACTAAGCATATATCATAAAACTACTTTACTACCCACAAATATGAAGAAATGGTCCACAATCCAAAAACTTGAATCCTCACTGGGAATGTATATAGTCATATGGATAATTAATAATTCTTTCAAAACAACCTAACTGAAAAGTAATGTAAGGCAAAGAATACTGAGGTAGGAATAAAAAAGAGTAACAAGTCAGGGAAAGAAAACAAATTTGACTTGAGAAATTTCGTACTTACCCATTTAATATGTGTTCAAAAAGATGAACTTGACCATCTTTGCAAACAACAGCTAACTTGACAGGCTAAAAGAAAAATTAAACTGATTACTCTAATGGAGAATGACCTTCATAATATACTTATAAAACTTCAACTGTCCTCCCCACCCCTTTAAATAACCAGAGAAAAAGTCAGAACACCAAGGTGGCACAACTCTTGCATTTAAAATTCACTACTGTCATCTAAACAACTGGAGTTGTTGTCAAGCATAGAAATAAAAGTTTAAGCCAAGAAGATAACAAGAAGAATGCAGCCTGGAAGTTATAGGAGCAAAGTCACTACCAAGTGCAAAGTCACTGACAAAAGAAACTGGCAGGCCCCGCATGTCAGAGCAGTCAGATCCCTGAACACGGGGGGTGGCTGGGTGGCTCAGGTGGTTAAGCATCCAACTTCAGCTCAGGTCATGATCTCGCAGTCTGTGGGTTCAAGCCCCGCTCGGGCTCTGTGCTGACAGCTCAGAGCCTGGAGCCTGCTTCAGATTCTGTGTCTCCCTCTCTCTCTGTCCCTCCCCCACTCATGCTCTCTCAAAAATAAATAAACGTTAAAAATTTTTGGAAAAAAAAAAAGATCCCTGAAAACACGGGACACGGTCCCCCTGCTCGGAAGTGCACACCACAGTGATTTATTTAATGGTTACTCCGGACAGTCCAAGAAGATTTTTGTTACATTTTGTTCTTTCTTCCCTCATGTCCCCTACTTTCCCAAATCATTAAATCATCAAAACACTAACTTTAAAAATATAATTTGTGAAATCCAAAAACAAATTCTCAAAAATTGAGCCATTTACCTCTTCTTTATTTTCTGACAACGTCAAGTCAATATAGACAGGTTCATCTGTAACTGTAAAAGACATCACTGCATTCTTTTCTTTGTTTTCTGACCGGACCTGCCTAGATAACAAAACCCATGATTAGGTAGTAAGAAATTAAACAACAAAAAAAGATGAGCACCTAATGGGAGTAACAGCATTAGATTCCCAATAGTTTTTGCATCTTTTGAAAGCTAAATAAAGAGACTACAGATCAAACTTAGACCCATTTGTGTCACTGCCACTTAACATGGTTGCAGGGAAAAGAGAAAGCACTAATGCCCTTATGCAGATTTAAACAATAAGTAACATTCTCTATTCTTTTCCACTAATCTGTTTATCTTGATGCCAATACCACACTGTTTTGATTATTGTAGCTTGACAAGTCCAGAAATCAGGCAATGTGAGTCCTCCAACTTTTTTCTGCTTTTTCAACATTGTTTTGGCTATTCTACATCCTTTGCATTTCTCTTTGAATTTTAAAATCAGATGGTCAATTTCTACAAGAGAGTTTGCTGAGATTTTGACTGGGTTTACACTGATTCTATAGATTAATCTGAGAATTCACACGATAGCAATGTAAAGAAAATAGAGTCCAGAAATAGACCCATGCGTATATTTAACCCAAATGACCCTCATTATTTGTGGATTCCTTCTTTGAGAATTTGCTTACTTGCTAAAATTTGTTAGCCTCCGAATCAGAATTTGTGGAACTTCCATAGTCTTGAACAGAGCCATAAAAATGCTCAAAGCAGTGAAAAATAGTAAGAGTTGCCCACAATGTTCAACAAGGCTATGCTCTGACTTCTTCCTTCAGCTCTCACACTACAGAAGTGTTATTAGTATCATTTAGTATCATTAGTATTTAGAATGCTAAAAAGTATTTTCATTTTGTTTTCATGTTTTTGTTGGTGATTTCACTTTTAAAATGTCCCTTAAGGAGGCGCCTGGATGGCTCAGTAGGTTAAGCACCAGACTTTGGCTCAGGTCATGATCTCACAGTTTGTAAGTTCAAGCCCTCCATCAGGTTAACACGAGCCCCACACCACACTTCAGGTGAGCTCAAGCCCCAATTTGGGTGAGCCCCTCTTCTCTCTCCCTCCATCTTTCTGCCCCTCGCTCACTTGTGCCCTCTCTCTCAAAAAAAAATAAAAAAATAAACAGTGCCCTAAGTATAGTGCTCAAGTGCTGTCTCATGTATCTAAGAGCAAAAGAAGCTGTAATATGCCTTAAGGGAAAAAATATTTGTTAGGCAAACTCTGTTCTGACAGGGGTTAACTAACTATATACATGATGTATTTTCAAACAGAAACACACATAAAATGAGGCTATATATTGATTAGATGACAAAAATGTAACCAACAAAACTTGCAGAAACCTAACCTTATATTTCCCGGAGGAATCACAGTTCAGTATCACTAACTCTGTGCTCATGAGGACTTTATACAACATAACAACTGCAAATAAGAACCAACTGTATGGGGCGCCTGGGTGGCTCAGTCGGTTAAGCGTCTGACTTTAGCTCAGGTCACGATCTCACGGTCCGTGAGTTTGAGCCCCGCGTCAGTCTCTGGGCTGATGGCTCAGAGCCTGGAGCCAGCTTCCGATTCTGTGTCTCCTTCTCTCTCTGCCCCTCCCCCGTTCATGCTCTGTCTCTCTCTGTCTCAAAAATAAACTTAAAAAAAATAAAAAAAATAAAAAAAAAAGAACCAACTGTATGTGTATATCCATGTATATATGCAAAAACAGTTCACTGGAAATAGTCTTTTCAACGAATGGTACTGAGACCAATGGATATTCCTAACACAAGAACATAAATTTCCATCCATTTAGGAATGCAAACTGGTGCAGCCACTCTGCAAAACTTATGAAGTTCCCTCAAAAAGTTAAAAATAAGGGGGTGCCTGGATGGTTCAGTCAGTTGAGCTTGGGCTCAGGTCACAATCTCCCAGTTCGTTGAGTGCAAGCCCCAAATCGGGCTCACTGCTGTTAGTGCAGAGCCCGCTTCAGATCCCCCCACTTTCCCCTAAATAGACACTTGCGAAAAAAAAAAAAAAAGTTAAAAATAGGGGTGCCTGAGTGGCTCAGTCACTGGGCATCTGACTCTTGATTTTGGCTCAGGTATGATCTTGCAGTCGTGGCATCAAGCCCCATACATCAAGCTCTTCACTGGCAGCACAAAGCATGCTGGGAATTCTCTCTCCGCCTCTCACTCGCTCGCTCTAAATAAATAAATAAATGTAAAAAACACAACTGTCCTATAACCCAGCAAGAGCAGCACTATTAGGTATTTATTCAAAAAAAAAAAAACAAATACTAACTCAAAGGGATACGTGCACCTGATATTTCTACAATACCAAATATCTACAATAGCCAAATTATGGAAACAGCCCATTGATGAATGGATAAAGATGTGATATACACTTCTCTCTCACTCTCACACACACACACTGGCATAAAAAATGAAATCTTGCCATTTGCAGTGACATGGGTGAAACTAGAAAGTATTATGCTTAGTGAAGTAAGTCAGCGAAAGACAAATGCTGTATGATTTCACGCATATTTGGAATTTAAGAAACCAAACAAAGAGGAGAAAAAGACAGGCAAACCAAGAAACAGACCCTTAACTATACACAACTAGTGGTTGGGGGTGTGGGGGATGGGCTAAATAGGTGATGGAGATTAAGGTGTACACTTGTGATGAGCACTGGGTATTTATGGTAGTGCTAAATCACTATACTGTACACCTGAAATTAATATCACACTGTATGTCGGGGCGCCTGGGTGGCTCAGTCGGTTAAACGGCCGACTTCAGCTCAGGTCATGATCTTGCAGTTTGTGAGTTGAGCCCCGCGTCATGCTCTGTGCTGACAGCTTGGAGCCTGGAGCCTGCTTCAGGTTCTGTGTCTCCCTCTTTTCTCTGTCCCTCCCCCACTCTAACTCTGTTTCTCAAAAATGAATAAACATTAAAAAAAAATTTTTTAATATTACACTGTATGTTAACTGGAATTTAAATAAAAATTTTTAAAAAACTGTCATTCATTCCTTGTACCATATACACATATTAGCTCAAAATGCAAGCCTTAAAACTAAATCTTTCAGAAGAAAACCTTTGTGACCTTGGATTAATTAAGCAAAGATCTCAAAACATGATCCGAACTACATCAAAATTAAAAACTTCTCTTCGAAAAGACAATGCACATACTAGGAGAAAATATCTGCAAAGCATATACTTGATAATGGGTTTATATTGAGAATATATATAGAATTCTCAAAACTCAGTAAGAAAACAAACCCACTAAAAAATAGGCCAAACATATGAACAGATACTTCATCAAGAAACATATGCAGATAGCAAACAGGACAAGATTCTCAACATGAGTGGCCATTAGGGAAATGCAAACTAAAACCACAGGGAGGTACCATTACATACCTATTAAAATGGCTAAGGTTAAATGATTATATCAAGCATTGGTGAGGATATGAAAGAATCTGCACTCTTATACATAGCTGGTCAGAATGTAAAATGTAAAAATGGTACTATCACTTTGAAAAAACTTGACAATTTTTTTCAGTAGCCCCAACATGGGGCTTGAACTCATGACCCTGACATCAAGAGTCACATGCTCTACTGACTAAGCCAGCCAGGGGCCCAAACTTGGCAATTTCTTAAAAAGTTAAATATATATCATATGATCTACCCATGCACTCAAGGTATTTACACAAAAGAAACGAATCAGGGGCGCCTGGGTGGCGCAGTCGGTTGAGCGTCCGACTTCAGCCAGGTCACGATCTCGCGGTCCGTGAGTTCGAGCCCCGCGTCAGGCTCTGGGCTGATGGCTCGGAGCCTGGAGCCTGTTTCCGATTCTGTGTCTCCCTCTCTCTCTGCCCCTCCCCCGTTCATGCTCTGTCTCTCTCTGTCCCAAAAATAATAAACGTTTAAAAAAAAAAAAAAATTCAAAAGAAACGAATCATATGTCCATACAAAGATTTATACACAAATGTCTGTAATAACTTTGTTTTAATGTTTACACAACAGGTTTTATTTATTTATTTATTTATTTATTTATTTATTTATTTATTTATTTATTTTTAACGTTTGTTTTTTTCTTAATTTTATTTTTTAAAATCTACATCCTGGGGCGCCTGGGTGGCTCAGTCGGTTAAGCATCCGACTTCAGCTCAGGTCATGATCTCGTGGTCCGTGAGTTTGAGCCCCACGTCGAGCTCTGTGCTGATGGCTCAGAGCCAGGAGATTCTGTGTCTCCCTCTCCCTTTGCCCCTCCCCCACTCACATTCTGTCTCTCTCTCTCCTTCAAAAATAAATAAACATTAAAATAAAAGGAAGAACATGTGCAGTTTATTATACATCAATTATACCCCAATAAAGGTATTTTAAAAATTTAAGGCACAAATTAAAAAAAGAAAAAGACTAACAGTAAAAAAACATGATTTGCAAACACAATTCACAATCAGTTTGTTTTTATCAACTAGTGAGACTTTATACATTCACCAGTAAACAAGGGCACCTAGGTGGCTCAGTTGGTTAAGCGTCCAACTGACTTTGGCTCAGGTCATAATCTCACGGCTTGTGAGCTCTTTTGAGTTCGAGCCCCATGTCGGGCTCTATGCTGCTTCAGATTCTGGGTCTCCCTCTCTCTCTCTCTGCTCCTCCCCCACTCACTCACGCGCATACTCTCTCCTTCAAAAATAAACATTAAAAAAAATATATATTCACCAGTAAGCAATCTTTCAATATTTTTGTGTATAGAAGAAAACTAAGAATTTTATTGGATCAACTTCTAAGTATTCCCATTTATGAATTCTTCATAAAACAATACTAATTCTAACTTGAAGCCATTTATACTATACATTGTTCAAAATCACTGCCATAAGACTACTTTATACAAAAGAAACTGGTATCGGGGCGCCTGGGTGGCGCAGTTGGTTGAGCGTCCGACTTCAGCCAGGTCACGATCTCGCGCTCCGTGAGTTCGAGCCCCGCATCAGGCTCTGGGCTGATGGCTCAGAGCCTGGAGCCTGTTTCCGATTCTGTGTCTCCCTCTCTCTCTGCCCCTCCCCCGTTCATGCTGTGTCTCTCTCTGTCCCAAAAATAAATAAAAAAACGTTGAAAAAAAATTTAAAAAAAAAAAAACAAAAGAAACTGGTATCTTAGCTCAACAACAGGATAATACTGTCCTTACAGTAATATGAAAGTGTTTTTTTGCTTAATTTTCACTCAGCAAGAAGCCTTCAAATGTTATTTCCTAACAGAAATGTGTCTTTCAAAGGTAATCATCAGGGAACCTTAGGCTTCCTCTACCTACAAAACACAAAGTTTTCCATAAATGGTCTTTGGAGGCAGCCTTTTAATATGGGTTTTTAATTTTTCAAGTTTATTCCTCTGTTAGTAGGAAGCCCACAGGCATACACATACTATTTGGGGGATGTTAAGACAACAGAAATCAATTTCTCTTTTACAGAAGAAATTTTGTAGGGGCATCTGGGTGGCTCAGTCAATTGAGCATCCAACTTTGGCTCAGGTCATGATCTCATGTCTTGTGGGTTCAAGCCCTGCACTGGGCTCTGTGC